TCAATTTCAAGTCGGCACGACTTGGTTGGAATGCACACTCCAACAGCTCGTCGAGCGAACCTATGCTCATGGATTCCAGCAATGTTGAGGACGAGGAAGCCAAGCTCCGAGCTGCCGGGCAGCACGCAAACACACAACGGTGTTTTTTCTGTGGAGACAATTGTCACCTGCGAAACGGTTGCCCCCTGCGCAAGGCGCATCAAGGTTCCTCGAACCATCTCCTCAACACCTACCAGTCTGGTTCGTCGCGTAGAAACGATACCACTCAGTAGGCGCGGGGTGACCTACTGGGGAAGAAGTGAGTTCTGTTGGGTCTCAGGGAGGCATTGGTCAACAGGGCCTAGTCTCGAAGATTTCCGTGCTCTTGAACATGGAACGTGTGTGCAAGCCGGGCTTGCTGGTCGTGGAGGCAACCGTAAAGGGCTTCGAGAAGCCATAAAAGTTCCTCATCGACTCCGGGGCGTCGGGCAATTATGCTCGACGGACCACGATGGATAGAAGTCATCTTTACGCTGAGGCGATGAATGCGCGGTTGAGTGAAATCGTCACTGTTCGCCTAGCGACGGGGACACGTGTCACGGTCCCGAAGGACCCTATGGATCTCGGAGTCAAGTTTCTTGACTTTGATAGCGTGGAACGCTGTCTAGCCTTAGACTTGGATGTAAGGTATGACATCATCCTTGGAATGCCATGGTTGGAACACCATGAGCCATGGACTGGAGGTCAAAGACTTTGGGCGCTACGCGCACGTCTCCTGGTGGAGCTTTGGCGAGTCATGAACCCACCTCAGCTAGGAGACACAAGCGCTATTGACTAGAGCATTGGACCGAGACGGTCGACGCGCAAGGAATTGGAATGTCCGAGTTGGTAGACACCATCGGTGTATCGGACAGGAGTCCCGAGCGTGGCTCGCGGGCTGATCGTGGAGTGGCACGTAACCCACTGAGCGATGCTCAGGTTTCGGAGCAATCGCTGCATGTCATGCGTGACATGGTCGACCGAGGGTCTCGCCCTCGATACATCGGACCTTGCGATGCACGTGAAGTGGCATGTCAACCACTGAGCGCAGCTCGAGTATCAAAGTAGTCGCTGCATGTCATGCGTGACATGGTCGGCGAAGGGCCGAGGCATCGAGGGCGAGGCCCCGTGATGCT